GCTGAGAATCCCAGTTCAAAGACAGCCAAGGGAGGAAAGTCCCTGAGACTCTTATCTCTGATGAACAACAACAACAATAAAGCTGGAAGTGAAGTTGTGGCTCAAATAATAGCGCTAGCCTGGAGTACAAAAAGCTCAGAGACAGCGCTCGGGCTGTGAGTTCAAGCCCCAAGACTGATACAGAAAGAAACAAAGAAAAATGTGGGAGGGAGACGGGGAGCCACAGGGCCCATTCTAACACAGCACAGCCAACCTGAGGATCCCAAGGCTTGAAAACACACGGGAAACCCCACAACCCAACCACACACTGGCAAACAGCGTGCCCAAATGCTTTTAGCTGTGTGTACGCCTATACTGGGGCTTGAATTCAGAGCCTGGACATTTTTGCTCGAAGCTGGCACTCTACCACTTGAGCCACAGATTCAACTAACGTGTGTGTGTGTGTGTGTCTGTGTGTGTGTGTGTGTACCAGTCCTGGGGCTTAAACTCAGTTCCTGAGCGTTTTTGTTCAAGACTAACTACCTCTTGAGCTACAGCTCCACTTCTACCTTTCTGGTAGATAGAGTCTCCCAAGCTTTCTTACCCAGGCTGGCTGTGAACTTTGGTCCTCAGATCTCAGCTTCCTGAGTGGCTGGGATTACAGGCGTGAGCACCGGCGCCTGGCAAGGGGGTGATTTTACTTACTGTAAGATGCTGTAGACAGTATCGAAGTGCTGGAGGATAGCAAGCGGCCCCTGTGCTCGGAAGGCAGCCTGAAATGCTGTGAAGACAAGAGAGCGCGCAGGGGCTGGGCAGGTGGCTCAGTGGTAGAGCGCTCGTCTAGCATGCATGTGGCCCTGGGTTCGATTCCTCAGTACCACATAAGCAGAAAAAGCCAGAAGTGGCACTGTGGCTCAAGAGGCAGAGCGCTAGCCTTGAGCAAAAGAAGCTCAGGGACAGCGCCCAGGCCCTGAGATCAAGCCCCAGGACTTGGCAAAATAAAAGGAAATGACTAATCTGAAGGGAAAAACCTTCTTGATGAGTCCTGTCCAAACCTGCACTGACATTTTAGACTTCCTTCCTCGTTATTTTGTACATTGCCCCTCAATAAGGCTTCGCCTGATGCTTCTCTTTCTTTCCCTTTTTGGTGCTGGCTGGGGCTGGGACTCTAGCCTTGCGCTATCTTACGCAGCATTTTCCCTCAAAGCTGGTCCTCTGTCACAAACCTTCCAGCTTCTGAGTGCAGTTTCGTGCTAATGAATTAGCCGGCCGAGGCCGTCTCCAACTTGAAATGTTGAATGTAGTTTCACTAGTAGTTAGGATTATAGGCGTGAGCCACTGGCACTTGGCTCTTGTTTATTTATTTGTTCATGTACTTATTCAATAGTGCTGAGGATTAACAGGGCTTTGCGCATGCTAGACAAGCTCTGTACCACTAAGCTACACACTCAGCCCTTGCTGGGCAGGGGCCTTGTGGATGGAGCTGGCCTGGAACTCACTTACCTGTAATCCTCTTGCCTCTACCTTTCCTGTGCTGGGATTGTAGGCATGCGCTACTATGCCAGCTTAATAATTTTCTCACAATTGTATTAGGGTCATACATTTTTCGCTAGACTATCACCGAAGGAAGGGCGGGGTCGATCTCACGAACCATATCACCCGTGGCTCCCACCTAAAATCCTGGACACACCAGAGGCTGAGATGTGAGGATCCAGGTTCAAAGCTAGCCCCAAAGGGCAAGTCTGAGAAACATATTTCCACTGAAAAGCTAGAAATGGAGCTGTGGCTCAGGTGGTAGAGCCCTTTCCTTGAATAAAAAAGGGACAGCACCCAGATCTCACGTTCAAGGACTAGCACAAAAAGAAAAAAAAAAAAACAATACGTGGTGGGTTTGGTGGCACATGTCAGTAATCCCGGCTACTCTCAAGGTCAAGAAAGGAGGGTCAAGGGTTCAATGGGCAATTAGCTAGCCCTTATCTCAAAAATGGGGGAAAAATGCATGAAAACAAAGTATGGATGGGGGGGGGGTAAGGTGACACAAGCACTAAAGTACCTGCCCAACCAGTCCAAAGACCTCGCCTCAACCCCAGTGCCGCAAAAAAACAATACAAAACCAAGAGAGGCCCATAGCAGCAATCTCTTATTAGTAATGATGTTAACCTTGATCTTTTGGTAGTGCTGGCCACATTGCTCCACTATAGTTTTTCTTCTTTGCAATTATTTTCTTCTTTTGCAATTCCTTCTCCACAAATTTAAGCACCACACACACACACACACCACAATGACATTTCACCAACACCACACCTCAGAAATGACAGTGATCCTGTAAGATATCACTTCCTATCCTGGGTGCTGTGGCTCATGCCTGTCATCCCAGCCACTCAGGAGGCTGAGAGCTGAGGATCCCAGTCTGAAGTCAGCCCAGGAAGGAAGGTCAGTGAGGCACGTATCTTTTTTTCTTTTTCTTTTGGTCATGGGGCTTGAACTTGGGCTTGGACACTGTCCCTGTGCTCTTCAGCTCAAGGTGAGTGCTCTACCACTTGAGCCACGGCACCACTTCTGGTTTCCTGGTGGTTTATTGGAGATAAAGAGTCTCTCAGATTTCCCTGCCTGGGCTGGCTTTGAACCACGATCCTCAGATCTCAGCCTCCTGAGTAGCTAGTATGACAGGCGTGAGCCACCAGCACCCAGCTTCCTGTTACTCTTAAATCTACTAGTACTGTGCCTTAGTATATGGTAAAGGGTAAGAATTTAAAACTGTTTCTCCCAATGAGGAATCATCTTCACTAAGACTATCTATCAGATGACCCAGGGAGGGACTAATGTCGCGACTCCCATACAATGACAGAGAAAACAGACGGAATGGGATGGAGCTGCTCCCAGCCCTCACCGAGCGTCGCGCCGCTCACTTTCACATGCCGGAAATCAGGGCAGCCGCACATCTCACCTTTAAGCTGGGGCTGCAGCTGTCTGATGGGCAGTACCTCTTGGACAACATACTGATTCACGCCTCCACTTCTTAGTAAATCCTCCGGGGACAAGGGGAGATGGAACTCACACAGCTGGGGGGCCATAATTCTACTGGTTCACAGGGCTGGAAACCAAACAGCAAAAATAACCGCGAGAGTGAAAATCTAAGGCGACTTTTCATCTGGTTCAACAACATCCCCAATACATAGTCTTTTACTGGGGGGGAGGGTTGGTCGTAGGACTTGAACTCTGGGCCTGGGCGCTGTCCCTGCACTCTTCAGCTCAAGGTGACCGCTCTACCGCTCTTGCTACAGCGCCACTTCTGGCTTTCTAGTGGTCTAATGGAGATAAGTAAGAGTCTCATGGACTTTCCTGCCCGGGCTGGCTTTGAACCCTGATCCTCTGATCTCAGCCTCCTGAGTAGCTAGGATGACAGGCGTGAGCCACCGGCACCTCTTGCCGTAGTCTTACAATAAGCTGCTAGCATTCACTTTTGAGATGTCATCATGGCTGGCAGAGAGACGTAAGTGGTAAAATGCTTACGTAGCAAGCCTAAGGACTCGAGTTCAAAGTCCTAGTATTGAAGAAAAAAGGCAGGACCTAATTTTTGTCCTGATTTTGCTACTGTGGGTCCACGTCACTTCGTTTCTTATCTCTGATTACAGACTTTGCCTGCGCCTTGTGCCTTTTCTTCACTCTAGCCTGGTGCGCTATACCACTGGTGCCGTAACGCCACTTCGGGCTTTCCCCAGCCTAGAGGATGGACTGGAACTCGGGGCCTGGGCGCTGTCCCTCAGCTCTTCAGCTCCAGGCGGGCGCTCTCCCGCTTGAGCCACAGCGCCACCTCAGGTGTTCTAGTGGCCTGATGGAGAACAGAGAGTCTCGTGGACTTTCCTGCCCGGGCTGGCTTCGAACCGCGATCCTCCGATCTCGGCCTCCAGAGCAGTCGGGCTGACAGGCGGGAGCCTCACGACCTTGCTCCGAGGATCGGAGCAATGGGTGGGGGCGCAGGGAGGATTGGGGCGCTGCTCTCGTCACGCCCGTCACGCGTGGGGAGGCGGCACCGGGCAGCAGCCCACTGCCCCGCACGGCCACCGCCCAGGTCTCCGGGCCCCGGGATCTCGCCCCGCTCATCACGGAGACCGAGATCGGACGGCCTGAACCCACCTCTCCATCTGGCCCCCAATTACACACACGGCCATTCTGGTCAGGGTTAACTGTTTCTACCCACATCGAGCCCTCCCCGGGCCGACTTGCAGGCCGAACCCACGACGCCCGGCCCCGGCCCCCGCTCCTCCCATTCAGAACCCCGGGCCGCTCACCTGGCTACGCGGCTTCCCCAGACCTGAGCCGCGGGGCTGCGAGGGATTCACGAAAACACGACTGCACCAAGCGCACCAATCAGAGAGGCAGCTTTCCAAGTGGGCGGAGAATCTGGCCAATCCCGAGCAAGGGAGGACAGAAGGCCCGCCCTCTGAGCCGGGCGCGGCAAAGCGCGGGCAAAAACCACCCACGGAGCGTTCAAAAACCCCAACGGCTGCAAGCCGACCAATCCCGACGGTCGCTGGCAGAGCCGGCCAATCACAGGGCGGGCTGAGCGCCAGGCCCCGCCCCCAGCCGGTCCGGGCCGCGGGAGGAGGCCGCGGCGGCCGTGCTGGCACCGCGGTCGCGTCCTGCCATGTCCTCCGCTCGGTGCCACCCCAAGTCCCCCCTCTCCCCGTAATGAACAGCCAGGGCGCCACAAGGACTCGGCTCCGCGCTCTGGCTGAGGGTGCCCGGGGAAGCGGAGGGGGGGTCATTTCACCACAGACGCCCCGCAGCGTCCGCGGAGCTCTCCCGAACTTCCGGTGTGCAGACCGGAAGCCGCTCGGACGGGCGGGCTGGCGGCCGGAAGCTGGAGGGCGGGGCCTGCCCGTGGCGGCAGCGCAGTGCTCGCCGGGAAGGGCTGGCGGTGGCGGCCCGCAGCCCCTCGCCGTGAGGCCCGCGGCCGACCCGCTCTCTCCGTGGCGTCGCCGCCGCCGTCGTCTGCGCGTGCGCGTGGAGGCCCGGCCATGGCGGCGGCCCTGTGCGCGGGGGCGCGCGCGGCGCTGCGGGGCTGGCTGCCCGCGGCCGGCAGGAGCTTCTCCGTGGGTGAGCGGGGCGCTCCCCGCGGGCCACGCCGCGATCGGGGGCTGGGACGCGGGGACAGCGCCGACCGAGGGCCGTGCCCACCCAATCCCGCCCGTGGACAGCTGATTGATTGACATGTCCATCCAACCCCCCACCCACCTGTGGACAGCTCTGATTGATTGACGTGTCTATTCAACCCCCCCCCGTGGACAGCTCTGATTGATTGACGTGCCCCCCCCGTGGACAGCTCTGATTGATTGACGTGTCTATTCAACCCCCCCCCCGTGGACAGCTCTGATTGGGTCCCTCCCGCCCCGTCGCAGGTGTCCCCAGGAACTACTTCATAAGGCGCACCCTCCCGCCTCCCCGAGAGGTCGACCGCTGGGACGAGAAGCGGGCTCTGTTCGGCGTCTACGACAACATTGGGATCCTCGGTGAGGCCCCCCCCCCCCGCAGCTACTCATGGGAGGCGCGGGTCTGCGGCCACGCTGGACTGGACTGTTAACAAACACAAATTGGGCTGGGAAGCTGGCTCAGTGGTAGAGTGCTCGCCTCGCATGTATGAGGCCGTGGGTTCGATTCCTCAGCCCCACAGGGATGTAAGAGTCCCATGGCCTTTTTCCCTCGCTCAGGCTGGCCTTGAACTGCAATCCTCAGATCTGAGCCTCCTGAGAACATGACTTCTGCACAAGCTCTGCTCAGGAAGCTGCAACTGTGCTCAAAGGTTTCCTTGGTCCAGGTTGGGTTCTCTTGTCTCGAGAGTAGTCAGGGTCTCCATATGTCAGGGCTGGGATTGCAGGAGCGCAGCACCACTCCTGCTCACCACACACGCTCCTGCTCACCACACACGCTCGGTCCTCCGCTCCTGACATGACTACCCTCTCTTCCATCCCCCAGGAAACTTTGAGAAGCATCCCAAGGAGCTGATCCGCGGCCCCGTGTGGCTGCGGGGCTGGAAGGGGAACGAACTGCAGCGCTGCATCAGGAAGAAGAAAATGGTGGGGAACAGAATGTTCCTGGAGGACTGGCACAACCTTAACAAGCGCATCCGATACCTTTACAAACACTTCAACCGCCGCGGCAAGCACCGCTAGGGACGCGCTGGGGACGCCGGGGTGGCCGGGCCGGGGTGGCCGGGGCCGAGGGGACGGTGGCAGCACACTGTCCGTAATAAAGAAGGGCTGCCTCGGAACCTCTCAGTACCGCAGCGCACTCCTGCGGCTCCGGAGTTCATTTCTTTCTTCCATCCTGGGGCTGGAACTCAGGGCCTGGGCACTGTCTTTGGGCTTTTGAGCTCAAGGCTGGCACTCTACCACCTGAGCCACAGCTCCACTTGTGACTTTTCTGCCCACACTGGCTTCAAACCACCCCCATTGCTTCTCAGCCCCTGAGTAGCTGGGATTACAGGACACTGGCGCCCGGCTCTTTGTAGATTCTTTATTAATCAGGTAATGGAGCATTTGGCCTGATTTTTGAATTTCCCTTCTTTTTATCCTCTGTCTCTCTTGATTCTTATTCTTGGTACTTTCTGGTTGGTTTGCAGTCTGGAACTCCAATTTATTTCTCTTGGCACAGTTTCTGTGGAAAATTCCCAAAGGCCTGGATGGAAGGTGTGCTGGTCCAAGGTTGGCCTCACTTCTCCTGGGCGCTTGGCCGCACCACCAGGCCCATGAATCACTTCAAATTCTTGTCAATTAGTATTTAGGAAGTAGAGGTATCTTACAAGCTTTCAAAAGAGAATAAAACAAGGAATTCAGGCAGGAGAAAACAAAACAAAACAGGACTCTGTTGTATGTTCTTTGCAAATACTTTATTTCCTTTGTTACCAGCACTGGAGTTTAAAGTTAGTCTGGGCACTGTCCCTTACCTTTTTTCTGCTCAAGGATGGTGCTCTACCACTTGAGCCACAGCTCTGCTTCTGGCTTTTTGATGGTTAATTGGGAAATAAAGTCTCACAGACTTTCCTGCCTGGGCTGGCTTGAACTGTGATTCTCAAACTTCATTGTTCTGAAGCTAGGATTGCAGGCATGAAGGAGCCACCAGCAGTCCCCTAAGGGCAGTGTAGGTGCTACATAAGGGCATATAGTCCTTTGGGCTTTGAGGTTTATGTAGGAGTCTTTTGTTGCCTTTCCCGCATTCATTCAGCCCCTGTATTACAGTGGCACCCTGGGAGGCCACAGGTTCAAATCCAACCTTTTCAGTCATCTCATTGAGTACCAGACTTCACTTTCCTGTGTGTGAACATAGGCTAGAACTCAGGGCCTTGTACCTTCATATGCTTTTCTTGCTGATGACTGGTGCTCTACTACCTCAGCCATGTCTCCACTCTTTCCTTTTCCTGGCTTATTTGCGATAAGTCTCAAACTGAGCTGGGACTGTAGCTTGGTGGTAGAGTGCTTGCCTGGCCAGAAGTGGCGCTGTGGCTCAAGTGGTAGAGCATTAGCCTTGAGCAAAAGAAACTCAGGGACAGTGCCCAGGCCCTGAGTTCAAACCCAGGTCTGGGGGGGGGGGAGAGGAAGGGAGGGGGAGGAAATGCTCAGCCTATTCTGTCTTCGCTGGCTTCAAACCTTGATCTCCCAGATCTCTGACTCCTGAGTAGCTACAGTTATAGGCGTGAGCCACCAGCCCTGGCTCATATTCAAAGTCACTGCCTGCGGATTTAAGCAGGATGGTGATTGCTCTAGATGGACAGAATCTGGAAGTACAAGACTTGAAGCAGAATCTTTTTCATTAGTTCTAAGAGGCACATTTGTTTTCTTCTGGCGTTTTAGCATCTACTTCGGATGCTTCATCATAGCTATTAGTCACACAGAGGTCACACTGCATTTGTCATATGTACTTAGGAGCATCCTAAGCTTGCCAAATGAGTGAGTATCTGAAGCTTATTAGATTCCAGAATGTTCCAGAGAGGGACAGTTCTGTCTCAGTAGGAAATTCTGTCATGGAGGCCCTGGGTGGTAATGTACACAGGACTACCTCAAGTGGAAACTCACAGACATCCAACACCGAAAAAACAACATGAATCATTATGAACCACTCTCAGAGCCGGGTACGGTGCTGCACACCTGCAATCCCAGCGCTGGGGATGGAAAGTTTGAGGCCAGCCCAGCTGCCTTGTGAGATCAAGTCTTAAAAAACCAAAACCTAAGCTGGGCGATGGGGGCTCAACACCTGTCATCCCAGCTCCTCAGGAGCCTGAGATCTGAGCAGCACAGAGCCCTGGCAGGAAAGTCTGAGACTAATCCGGTGTGGCTCAGCACTAGCCCTGAGCACAAAAGCTCCAGGATAGTGTCCAGGCCCTGAGTTCAAGAACTAGGACGTGGGGGCTGGGCAGGTGGCTCAGTGGTAGAGCGCTCGCCTCTCATGCATGAGGCCCTGGGACCGATTCCTCAGCACCACGGAAGCAGAAAAAGCCAGAAGTGGCGCCGTGGCTCAGGTGGTAGAGCGCCAGCCTGGAGCAAGAAAAGCCCAGAGACGGAGTCAGGAAGAGCAGGTGGACTGGCTGGCCGGCTCTGCAGCGGGCTGGGCCTCCGATGGCTCCCAGTATCCGATGCGGGCTCCAGTCCACTGAGAACCCAACTTGGAGACAGGTTTCGGGGTGAAGGAACGCATGAGATCCGAACCCAGCACCCGCTCCCAGGGCTCCGCAGCGCCGCCGCCCAGCGCGCGCGCCCCCTGCCGAGCCACGCCCCCTCCCCGCAGGACTCCCAAGTCCGGCTGTTATTGGTCCAGTCAGCTGGAGCGGGATGATTGACAGGAGCGGCCAGCTCAGCGATTGGCCGAGAGCCGGTATTCCCTTCCCTCTGTCCCACGCCCAGCCGTCCTGCGTGTCGATTGGACCACGCGGCTGTCAATATCCTCGAGGAGGCGTGACCCGCACCCATAAAGGCGGGGCCGCGCTGGGCCACCGCAACAAGTTCCACCGCTGCCAACGGCGTCTTCCCGCCGCCGCCCCGGGGGGCGGACACGGACCCCCAGATTCCCCGCCAGAGAAATGTGAGTGGACGGACATCGGGGTGCTCGGCACCTCCCTGCCGGCTCTGGTCCCTCAGCGCGGGGACAGGTGGGGGGGCCTGTTGTCCACCGGGGGGCCAGGAGACCACGGGGGGCCTGGAGACCACGGGGGGGCCTGGAGACCACGGGGGGGCCTGGAGACCACCGGGGGGGCCTGGAGACCACCAGGGGGCCCCCCACACTCGGGGACCCCGGCCTGTCCCTTCCCCCCCCCCCCCCGCTTCACGGGATTAATTCATGGACCCACTTTTAGTGTGACACCTCCCCCCCCCTTCATGACAGCAAAGCTCCAGAACCTTCCCCTGCAGGGTCCCTGGTGCCAGGTGAGCCGCCTAGGCCAGCAGGGAAGAGATGGAAGGACCCCAGAACATTCTCTCCTCCCTCCAACACATACACTTCAGTCCCCGATCATCACCAGCGACACGCGCGACCGCAGATCCCGAGGACCACATGGACGCTCTGTGCCAGTCCTGGGGCTTGAACTCGGGACCTTGGCGCTGTCCCTTAGCTTTTGCACTCAATGCTGGTGCTTCTCCCACTTGAGCCACAGCTCCCCCACCTTCTTAGTGCTAACCTGGAGATCAGAGTCTCACACTTTCTGCCCAGGGCTGGCTTTGAACCTTGATCTTCAGATCCCAGCCTCCTGAGTAGCTGGGATGACAGTCGGGAGCCACCGGTGCCCGGCTGGCCGGAATGTCATCTTTAGTCTTGTAGAACTCTGCGGGGTTCCACTGTGCTGGACCCGGTGGCTGCCAGCTCTGCTGCTTGGTTCTCATTGAGTTCAAGCCTTCAGCACAGCAGGAGGGGCCTTAAGCTAGCTCAGCAGCAGCACCGGCCACTTTGTGTCTTGCTTCGTGTGTTGGAGGAAAACGTGGAAGAGATTTCTTTTTGAAATGGAGATAAGAAATCAGATCTGCCCGGTAGGATCTCTCAGGGATTAGTCAAGGGATTTCATTTGAGGTGGCTTTGTGACTAGTGTGTTTTTTCCTAGACCTGTTCTGGGGAGGTTTGGGGTGTATTGTGGACCCCCAGACCTGAACTCTGGGTCTGGGAGCTGTCCCGGAGCTTTTTCACTCAAGGCTGAGACACTACCACTTGAGCCACAGCGCCACTTCTGGCTTTTTGGTGGTTCATTGAAGGTAAGAGTCTCTCAGGGGCTGGGCAGGTGGCTCAGTGGTAGAGCACTCGCCTAGCATGCATGAGGCCCTGGGTTTGGTTCCTCAGTACCCCATAAGCAGAAAAAGTCGGAAGTGGTGCTGTGGCTCAAGTAGTAGAGCACTAGCCTTGAGCAAAAGAAGCTCAGGCCCTGAGTTCAAGTCCCAGGCAAAAAACAAAACTCTCTTAGCCTCCTCCTACCTGGGCTGGCTTCAAGTTACAAACCTCAGATCTCAGCCTCCTGAGCAACTGGGAAAACAGGAGTGAGCCACCAGCACCCAACAGAGAAAAGGTCACTTTGAAGACTGCACACTGGAGACCCCTTAGCTTTTTTTGGGGGGGGCAGGTACCAAAAGTGAAAGGCCTTTGTGTGTAAACAGCTCCAGACCCGTCCTGAGAGTCTGCCAGATGGGGGTGAGGGAGGTGCAGACGCGCTCTGATCTCCTGGCATCCAGGCTTCTTTCCTGAGCATTCATTTTCTGGGCTTTTGGAACAGTTAGCGTCACTAATGCAATTACTTTGGGGCCCAGATCCAGTCGATGTGAAACTCCTACTCCTCTGCCCCAAATGCACACATAAGCCCACACTGGTGGCTCACGCCTGTCATCCCAGCTACTCAGGAGGCTGAGATCTGAGGATCGAGGTTCAAAGCCAGCTGCTCCTCCTGGCCTCTGTGCCCCTCTCTCCCCCTCCCAGAATCCCCCGGGCTCTAGCGTCTATTCGCCTGTCACCTAACTGGAATAGCTTGGATTGTATGGGGTGCAGCTGGATCCGACTCTGGTCTTGATTGCTGTGTGTCCGGCTCAACTCACTCACAGGTCCGCTCCAGCAGCTCAGCCGCCCGCGGAAGGGACAGAAGGGGCCGCCCCCGGTGGGGGTCCCCCCGGCCCCCCTCCCAACTTGACCAGCAACAGACGGCTGGAGCAAAACCAGGCGCAGGTGGAGGAGGTAGGTGCATAGCCATTTCTCAGAGTTTTCTTTTTCTTTCTGCCAGTCCTGGGGCTTGAACTCAGGGTCTAGGTTCTATCTCTGAGCCTCTCTGTGCTCAAGGCTGGCGCTCTACCACTTGAGCCACAGCACCACTTCCAGCTCTTTCTGTGTAAATGGTACTGAGGAATCGAACCCAGGGCT